ACCCACACCAGCCCCACACCCACACCAGCCCCACACCCACATCAGCCCCACACCCACACCAGCCCCACACCTACACCAGCCCCACACCCACACCAGCCCCATACCCACACCAGCCCCATACCCACACCAGCCCCACATCTACACCAGCCCCACACCTACACCAGCCCCACACCTACACCAGCCCCACACCTACACCAGCCCCACACCTACACCACCTCACAGATCCGGCCAGTCTCTCTACAAACCAACCAGTCTCCGATCAACAGTACAAAAGTCGCTACCATTGGCAAGTATTCTATATGCGATTAAGTAAACTAGTACATGTCGTAGTGGTCATTTAGGTGTATATTTAGTGCTAAATTGTTTAGGCTGCGCGAGAAGCCACCACCCGGGCCGGGTAAACCAGGGGCCAGATTCACGAAAGCATATACGCAAGCACTTACGAACGTGTACATCTTTCTTCAATCTTTGACGGCTTTGGGTTATATTTATTAAACAGTTTACAAGCATGAAAACTTGCCAATCAACTGTTGTTATTGTTATAAACAGCCTCCTGGTGCTTCGGAGCTCATTAACTGTTTAATAATTGGAAACAAAGCCGCCAAAGATTGAGAAAAGATGGACAGGTTCGTAACTGCTGGCGTGAATCTGGCCCCTGGTTTTAATCACTCACAATATCTTTCCCTTATTATATGCCGCATATATTAGTTGCAGTTTACTATTCTGTAATTATTCGGCAGATAAAGTCCAAGGGGAATGATCAATTTCCACATAAGTAGGCTGTTGTAATTATAGAGCAAGGCTGGCCTGTGTATATTATTTAGATCCTTGATATAAACACAACCAGTGTTCACTTATTAAACAGTTATTAGTCCATATACTCTCATAACCACCAGAGGAGCTAGGCTTTACAACCCTACCTATGGACTTTACTTGTATTAATTTTGCATACAGTAATTTATAATTTAGTACAGTACAGTTCCTAAGTAGTTCTCCTATATCAATCCCGGATATTTTCCCACACAGTTCACTAAGGTATCGTAGAGTCCACTTAAATTTGAAATAAAATCTTGAGTAAATGAGAAACAATTTAATAAAATTCATAATAAATCATTAAATAAATAAATTAATGCTGGGAGATATTCCCCACACCAGGCTACCTATACATACCACCAGGCTACCTATACATACCACCAGGCTACCTATACATACCACCAGGCTACCTATACATACCACCAGGCTACCTATACATACCACCTGGCTTCCTCAAGGTAATGACAGATATGGGAAAATTAACGTAATGACAGATATGGGAAAATTAAGGTAATGACAGATATGGGAACATTAAGGTAATGACAGATATGGCAACATTAAGGTAATGACAGATATGGCAACATTAAGGTAATGACAGATATGGCAACATTAAGGTAATGACAGATATGGCAACATTAAGGTAATGACAGATATGGCAACATTAAGGTAATGACAGATATGGCAACATTAAGGTAATGACAGATATGGCAACATTAAGGTAATGACAGATATGGCAACATTAAGGTAATGACAGATATGGCAACATTAAGGTAACGTCAAATATGGGAACATTAAGGTAATGACAGATATCGGAATATTAAGGTAATGACATATGGGAATATTAAGGTAATGACAGATATAGAAACATTAAGGTAAAGGAAGATAGGGGAACATTAACGTAATGTCAGATATGAAGACATTACACTACTGACCCAGTACACACCCTGTACACAACTGACCCAGTACACACCCTGTACACAACTGACCCAGTACACACCCTGTACACAACTCACCCAGTACACACCCTGTACACAACTGACCCAGTACACACCCTGTACACAACTGACCCAGTACACAACTGACCCAGTACACACCCTGTACACAACTGACCCAGTACACAACTGACCCAGTACACACCCTGTACACAACTGACCCAGTACACACCCTGTACACAACTGACCCAGTACACACCCTGTACACTACTGACCCAGTACACACCCTGTACACTACTGACCCAGTACACTACTGACCCAGTACACACACTGTACACTACTGACCCAGTACACACCCTGTACACAACTGACCCAGTACACACCCTGTACACTACTGACCCAGTACACACCCTGTACACAACTGACCCAGTACACACCCTGTACACAACTGACCCAGTACACACCCTGTACACTACTGACCCAGTACACACACACTGTACACTACTGACCCAGTACACTACTGACCCAGTACACACACTGTACACTACTGACCCAGTACACACCCTGTACACAACTGACCCAGTACACACCCTGTACACTACTGACCCAGTACACACCCTGTACACTACTGACCCAGTACACACCCTGTACACTACTGACCCAGTACACACCCTGTACACAACTGACCCAGTACACACCCTGTACACAACTGACCCAGTACACACCCTGTACACAACTGACCCAGTACACACCCTGTACACAACTGACCCAGTACACACTGTACATTACTGACCCAGTACACACACTGTACACTACTGACCCAGTACACACACTGTACACTACTGACCCAGTACACCCTGTACACTACTGACCCAGTACACACACTGTACACTACTGACACAGTAAACACCCTGTACACTACTGACCCAGTACACTACTGACCCAGTACACTACTGACCCAGTACACACACTGTACACTACTGACCCAGTACACACACTGTACACTACTGACCCAGTACACACACTGTACACTACTGACCCAGTACACACACACTGTACGCTACTGACCCAGTACACACACTGTACACTACTGACACAGTACACACTGTACACTACTGACCCAGTACACACTGTACACTACTGACCCAGTACACACACTGTACACTACTGACCCAGTACACACACTGTACACTACTGACCCAGTACACACACTGTACACTACTGACCCAGTACACACACTGTACACTACTGACCTAGTACACACACTGTACACTACTGACCCAGTACACACACTGTACACTACTGACCCAGTACACACTGTACACTACTGACACAGTACACACTGTACACTACTGACACAGTACACACTGTACACTACTGACACAGTACACACTGTACACTACTGACCCAGTACACACTGTACACTACTGTACACTACTGACATACCACCTGGCTTCCTCAAGGTAATGACAGATATGGGAAAATTAACGTAATGACAGATATGGGAAAATTAAGGTAATGACAGATATGGGAACATTAAGGTAATGACAGATATGGCAACATTAAGGTAATGACAGATATGGCAACATTAAGGTAATGACAGATATGGCAACATTAAGGTAATGACAGATATGGCAACATTAAGGTAATGACAGATATGGCAACATTAAGGTAATGACAGATATGGCAACATTAAGGTAATGACAGATATGGCAACATTAAGGTAATGACAGATATGGCAACATTAAGGTAATGACAGATATGGCAACATTAAGGTAACGTCAAATATGGGAACATTAAGGTAATGACAGATATCGGAATATTAAGGTAATGACATATGGGAATATTAAGGTAATGACAGATATAGAAACATTAAGGTAAAGGAAGATAGGGGAACATTAACGTAATGTCAGATATGAAGACATTACACTACTGACCCAGTACACACCCTGTACACAATTGACCCAGTACACACCCTGTACACAACTGACCCAGTACACACCCTGTACACAACTCACCCAGTACACACCCTGTACACAACTGACCCAGTACACACCCTGTACACAACTGACCCAGTACACACCCTGTACACAACTGACCCAGTACACAACTGACCCAGTACACACCCTGTACACAACTGACCCAGTACACACCCTGTACACAACTGACCCAGTACACACCCTGTACACTACTGACCCAGTACACACCCTGTACACTACTGACCCAGTACACTACTGACCCAGTACACACACTGTACACTACTGACCCAGTACACACCCTGTACACAACTGACCCAGTACACACCCTGTACACAACTGACCCAGTACACACCCTGTACACTACTGACCCAGTACACACCCTGTACACAACTGACCCAGTACACACCCTGTACACAACTGACCCAGTACACACCCTGTACACTACTGACCCAGTACACACACACTGTACACTACTGACCCAGTACACTACTGACCCAGTACACACACTGTACACTACTGACCCAGTACACACACTGTACACTACTGACCCAGTAAAAGCAGGAGAGGGGGAAGTAGCAGGAGAGGGGGAAGTAGCAGGAGAGGGGGAGTAGCAGGAGAGGGGGAGTAGCAGGAGAGGGGGAGTAGCAGGAGAGGGGGAGTAGCAGGAGAGGGGGAGTAGCAGGAGAGAGGGAAGTAGCAGGAGAGAGGGAAGTAGCAGGAGAGAGGGAAGTAGCAGGAGAGAGGGAAGTAGCAGGAGAGAGGGAAGTAGCAGGAGAGAGGGAAGTAGCAGGAGAGGGGGGAGTAGCAGGAGAGGGGGGAGTAGCAGGAGAAGGGGGAAGTAGCAGGAGAGGGGGAAGTAGCAGGAGAGGGGAGAGTAGCAGGAGAGAGGGGGGAGTAGCAGGAGAGAGGGGGGGAGTAGCAGGAGAGGTGGGGAGTAGCAGGAGAGAGGGGGGGAGTAGCAGGAGAGGTGGGGAGTAGCAGGAGAGGTGGGGAGTAGCAGGAGAGGTGGGGAGTAACAGGAGAGGGGGGAGTAGCAGGAGAGGGGGGAGTAGCAGGAGAGGTGGAAATAGCAGGAGAGGGGGGGAGTAGCAGGAGAGGGGAGAGTAGCAGGAGAGAGGGGGGGAGTAGCAGGAGAGGTGGGGAGTAGCAGGAGAGGTGGGGAGTAGCAGGAGAGGGGGGAGTAGCAGGAGAGGGGGGGAGTAGCAGGAGAGGTGGGGAGTAGCAGGAGAGGGGGGCAGTAGCAGGAGAGGAGGGCGAGTAACATTGAGGTACTCACTTTCCAGCTGGGCCATGCCGGGTACACGGGTGGACGGCACGCTGGTGGTGGTGTGGTGGTGGTGGGGAGTGTGGTGGTGGTGGTGGTGGTGGTGGGCAGTGTGGTGGTGGTGGTGGTGGTGGGCAGTGTGGTGGTGGTGGTGGTGGTGGGCAGTGTGGTGGTGGTGGTGGTGGTGGGCAGTGTGGTGGTGGGCAGTGTGGTGGTGGTGGTGGGCAGTGTGGTGGTGGGCAGTGTGGTGGTGGTGGTGGTGGTGGGCAGTGTGGTGGTGGTGGTGCTTTTTATAGTGGCTGTGATGGGTGTGGTGGTTGAGGAGGGGCCGCAGCAAACACAAGCCTCACGCCTCGGACGGGGTTGTGACTGGTGGTGGTTGTGGTGGTGGATGTGGTTATGGTTGTGGTGGTGGTGGTGGTGGTGGAAGGGCCCCAGCAAGCACCAGCGTCACGCCACGCCCGGAGTGGTGGTGGGTGGAGGCGGGACACAGGGCGGTGACGGCCTTGCCCCTGAAATCTACAGGTGAGCTGCTGTACTTATTACTGGTGTAGGCACGAGCAGGGGAGGGGGGAGGGGGGCGAGCAGGGTGGTGTAAGGCAGGACTACTGGGTGGTGTGTGAGGCAGGACTACAGGGTGGTGTGTGAGGCAGGACTACAGGGTGGTGTGTGAGGCAGGACTACAGGGTGGTGTGTGAGGCAGGACTACAGGGTGGTGTGTGAGGCAGGACTACAGGGTGGTGCGTGAGGCAGGACTACAGGGTGGTGTGTGAGGCAGGACTACAGGGTGGTGTGTGAGGCAGGACTACAGGGTGGTGTGTGAGGCAGGACTACAGGGTGGTGTGTGAGGCAGGACTACAGGGTGGTGTGTGAGGCAGGACTACAGGGTGGTGTGTGAGGCAGGACTACAGGGTGGTGTGTGAGGCAGGACTACAGGGTGGTGTGTGAGGCAGGACTACAGGGTGGTGTGTGAGGCAGGACTACAGGGTGGTGTGTGAGGCAGGACTACAGGGTGGTGCGTGAGGCAGGACTACAGGGTGGTGCGTGAGGCAGGACTACAGGGTGGTGCGTGAGGCAGGACTACAGGGTGGTGCGTGAGGCAGGACTACAGGGTGGTGCGTGAGGCAGGACTACAGGGTGGTGCGTGAGGCAGGACTACAGGGTGGTGCGTGAGGCAGGACTACAGGGTGGTGCGTGAGGCAGGACTACAGGGTGGTGCGTGAGGCAGGACTACAGGGTGGTGTGTGAGGCAGGACTACAGGGTGGTGTGTGAGGCAGGACTACAGGGTGGTGTGTGAGGCAGGACTACAGGGTGGTGTGTGAGGCAGGACTACAGGGTGGTGTGTGAGGCAGGACTACAGGGTGGTGTGTGAGGCAGGACTACAGGGTGGTGTGTGAGGCAGGACTACAGGGTGGTGTGTGAGGCAGGACTACTGGGTGGTGTGTGAGGCAGGACTACTGGGTGGTGTGTGAGGCAGGACTACTGGGTGGTGTGTGAGGCAGGACTACTGGGTGGTGTGTGAGGCAGGACTACTGGGTGGTGTGTGAGGCAGGACTACTGGGTGGTGTGTGAGGCAGGACTACTGGGTGGTGTGTGAGGCAGGACTACTGGGTGGTGTGTGAGGCAGGACTACTGGGTGGTGTGTGAGGCAGGACTACTGGGTGGTGTGTGAGGCAGGACTACTGGGTGGTGTGTGAGGCAGGACTACTGGGTGGTGTGAGGCAGGACTACAGGGTGGTGTGTGAGGCAGGACTACTGGGAGGTGTGAGGCAGGACTACTGGGTGGTGTGTGAGGCAGGACTACTGGGTGGTGTGAGGCAGGACTACAGGGTGGTGTGAGGCAGGACTACTGGGTGGTGTGAGGCAGGACTACTGGGTGGTGTGAGGCAGGACTACTGGGAGGTGCTAGGCAGGACTACTGGGTGGTGTGTGAGGCAGGACTACAGGGTGGTGTGTGAGGCAGGACTACAGGGTGGTGTGTGAGGCAGGACTACAGGGTGGTGTGTGAGGCAGGACTACTGGGTGGTGTGAGGCAGGACTACTGGGTGGTGTGAGGCAGGACTACAGGTTGGTGTTAGGCAGGACTATAGGGTGATGCTAGGCAGGGCTACATGGAATAAGGAACAATTTAACAGGTTCTAACACCATATAACTACTAAGTTTGTCACTAAGATACACAACAGTTGACTGGTTGTAACTACAAGTTGTACTCTACACTAAATATTGAACTATGTACACAAGTGAGTTTAAGTGGTAACTACAGCAGACAACACGTGGCGCCACCTCAAGGTACAAGTGTCGGGTCTTACAAATCTTCTTGACCCTTAAGGCTCACGTGATACACTAGTGTCGGAAACTTCCGACACCCAAATACTAACCCCTAGTGAGATAGGATGTATTTATTGTATTAAGAAATATAAGTTACTAACCTTATGTTATTATGACGTAAAATAACATCGGCAATGTTTACATTTAATAGAAAACCAGAATAAAGTATTGTGAATTATAGGCAGTGTTAATACAGGGTGGGGCATCCAGGTGGCGCGCGCGTCACCCCGCTCACTTGCTGAGAGAGAGGCCGTCACCAGAGTGTCCTCAAGTTGTTCTCTTCCATCGTCTATTTTTGAGAACATCCGAGCAGTATCGGACGCCACACTTTGTAAACGACATCAGTCATCACTGAGGACACTATGTCCGGTTGGGCTAAGTACCAATATACACATTTTGTGGCCATATTATAGTGTTATCTTGGGGGGGACCAATCGTTACGCCACGAGACAATAAAAAAACATCAGTAAGCATTTCCCCTAATCAGTCTATCCACTTTTTAATGTGTATTACCGTAGACATTTATAGTCATATGGAGATTACATGTTATTAGTTTGACAGTTTGTCTACGAAGGAGAATCACCTGCGGTGGACCACGTGTCTGCTCCGTCAACACCAATAAACAGGACAGTGTTTCCGTCCTGCCTGTAGGGCCGGGCACCTGTAGGGCCGGGCACCTGTATGACCAGGCACCTGTAGGGCTGGGCACCTGTAGGGCCGGGCACCTGTATGACCGGCCACCTGTATGACCGGCCACCTGTAGGGCCGGGCACCTGTATGACCGGCCACCTGTAGGGCCGGGCACCTGTATGACCGGCCACCTGTAGGGCCGGACACCTGTATGACCGGACACCTGTATGACCGGCCACCTGTAGGGCCGGACACCTGTATGACCGGACACCTGTAGGGCCGGGCACCTGTATGACCGGCCACCTGTAGGGCCGGACACCTGTTTGACCGGCCACCTGTAGGGCCGGACACCTGTAGGGCCGGACTCCTGTAAAACCGGACACCTGTAGGGCTGGACAGTTGTAGGGCCGGACAGTTGTAGGGCCGGGCACCTGTAGGGCTGGGCACCTGTAAGGCCGGGCACCTGTAGGGCCAGACACATGTAGGGCTGGGCACCTGTATGACCGGGCACCTGTAGGGCCGGGCACCTGTAGAGCCGGACACCTGTAGGGCTGGGCACCTGTAGATCCGGGCACCTGTAGGGCTGGGCACCGCCGGGCACCTGTAGGGCCGGACACCTGTAAGGCCGGACACCCGTAGGGCCAGGCACCTGTAGGGCCGGACACCTGTAGGGCCGGGCACCTGTAGTTTCGGACACCTGTAGGGCCAAGCACCTGTACGACCGGGCACCTGTAGTTTCGGTCACGTGTAGGGTTGGGCACCTTTAGGACCGGGCACCTTTAGGACCGGACACCTGTAGGGCTGGGCACCTGTAGGACCGGACACCTGTAGGGCCGGGCACCTTTAGGACCGGACACCTGTAGGGCCGGGCACCTGTAGGGCCGAACACCTTTAGGACCGGACACCTGTAAGGCAGGGCACCTGTAGGGTCGGGCACCTGTAGGGTCGGGCACCTGTAGGGCCGGGCACCTGTAAAGCCGGGCACCTGTTGGGCCGGGCACCTGTAGGGTCGGACACCTGTAGGGTCGGGCACCTGTAAGGCAGGGCACCTGTAAAGCCGGGCACCTGTAAGGCCGGGCACCTGTAAGGCCGGGCACCTGTAGGGCCGGGCACCTGTAGGGCCGGGCACCTGTAGGGCCGGGCACCTGTAGGGTCGGACACCTGTAGGGTCGGACACCTGTAGGGTCGGACACCTGCAGGGCCGGGCACCTGTAGAGCCGGACACCTTTAGGGCCGGGCACCTGTAAAGCCGGGCACCTGTAGGGTCGGGCACCTGTAAGGCAGGGCACCTGTAAAGCCGGGCACCTGTAAGGCCGGGCACCTGTAGGGCCGGGCACCTGTAGGTTCGGACACCTGTAGGGCCGGGCACCTGTAGGTTCGGACACCTGTAAGGCCGGACACCTGTAGGGCCAGACACCTGTAAGGCCGGGCACCTGTAAGGCCGGACACCTGTAGGGCTGGGCACCTGTAGGGTCGGACACCTGTAGGGCCAGACACCTGTAAGGCCGGGCACCTGTAGGGCCGGGCACCTGTAAGGCCGGACACCTGTAGGGCTGGGCACCTGTAGGGTCGGACACCTGTAGGGCTAGACACCTGTAAGGCCGGACACCTGTAGGGCCGGGCACCTGTAAGGCCGGACACCTGTATGACCAGCGTGGCTGAGCAACGTGCATGGCTCCCTTCCCTGCCCCCCCCCCCACCTCGTCCTCCCCACCATTCCCCACTCCCTCGTCCGATGCGTTCCCAAATAATCTGATATTCCCATCAGAAAAACGAGAATATCAAATGATCTGATGTTCCCATCACTGAAAAATAACAATTAAAAAAAATGAAAAGAAATGAAGAAATAAAAAAATAAACTATACTCACGAAATGAACTGTACGGTAAACAACACAGCTCAATTCCAACGCAATGTCACACAAAATAATTATTAATCACATGTGTGGCATGTATATAGTAGGTAAATATTAACACGCGTCTATGCGAATAGAACGTTGTGTAAAAATTTCAAAGCAATCGGTGAAGAACTTTCGGAGATTAGCGATTTAGAACAAACGAACATTTACATGTTTATTTATATAGATAATTCCTTAGTAGTCAGTATACTACTATCTAACAGCTAAGTACGTAAGAATTCGTGACTATTGACGACCTTCACAACAG